TTCCACAGTGACTGAACCAGTTTACATTTCCAGTGGCAATGTGTGAAGGTTTAATTTCTCCATATCCTGGCCAATGCTTGTTATTCTCTGACTTCTTGCATATAGCCATGCTAGTGGGTATGAAGTAGTATCTTATTCTGGTTTTGATTTCCATTTCCCTAAAGACTAATGATGTTGACCACATTTTCATATGCTTGTTGGTCATGTTTATTTTCTTTGTAGAAATGTCTATTCAAGTCTTTTTAAAAATCACATTGGAGCCAGGTGTGGTGGCACATACCTGCAATCCCAGTACTGAGGAAGCTGAGGCAAGAAGATCGTTGAGAGTTTGAGGCCAGCTTGGGGTACATAGGGAGTTCAAGGCCAGCCTAAACCATGAAGTGAGAACTTGTCTCAAAAAACAAAAAAAAATCAGATTGGAACTATCTATATCTATTAATTTTTTTGTCTTTTTTGAGACAGGGTCTCACTATGTGGTTCAGGCTAGACTTCAACTCACTTTGTAGCTCAGGCTGGTCTTGAACTTGCAGCGATCCTCCTGCCTCAGCCTCCCGAGTGCTGGGATTACAGGCGTGCGCCACCATGCCCCGCTCTGTATCTATTAATTTTTTTGTGGCACCTATCACCATTTTTTTATTAGCTTCTCAATATATTTTAAATTTTTGAGACAAGTTCTCATTATGCAGCTCATGCTGACCTTGAATTTATGATCTTCCTACCTCATCCTCCCAAGTTCTGGGACTACTCTATGCCCTGCAGATTTTACACACACACACTCACACATGCACGCACATACACCAGAGTAGTGGGGGGATTGAACCTAGAGCCTTCACACTGAGCTACATACTTAGCATTTTGTTGTTTGGATTCTATTTTATTTCTTTTTAGCAGGGTCTTGCTAAGTCACTAAGTTGCCCAGGGTGGGCCCAAGCTTGCAGTCCTCCTGCTTCAGTCTCCCACAGTGCTGGGATGATTGGTATGTACTACCATAACCAGCCTATTACATATATTTTTGTATGCATTTTATTAAGTTACAGGAGTTCTTTATATATGATCAGTAACAAATATACAGTATATACTCTTCTCAGATACATATTTTCTCTTCTTTTTTTCTTTTGGTACCGGGAATCGAACTCATGACCTCAGGCTTGCCAGGCAAGCACTTATGTCGCTGAGCTATATCCCTGGCTCTTCTCAGATACATATTTGCAAATATTTTCCCCATTCTATGAGTATCTTTTCATTTTGTAGATAGTTTCTTCTGGGGTTCAAAAGATTTTAATTTTGATTAAGTCCAGTTTATCTGTATCTCCTTTTGTTGGGCTTTGATGTCAGAACTAAGATTCCTCTGCCAATCAATAGCTATTAATCTCTCCCCCACACTGGGGATGGAACCCAGGGCTCCATGCTTCCTAAGTAAGTGCTCTACCACTGAGCTAATCCCCCAGCCTTACTGAGCACAATGTGTGCCAGGATTTAGTGATCCCATGGTCAATAAGAGAGACTCAGTCTGGTCCTCTAGTGAGGCTGGGGAGATATTAATCTAATAACTGCAATTGTGATTAGGAGTGTAAGAAGATGCACATGGTATTATGAGTTTATGGGTAGGGCACCAACATAGTCTGAGGGGCAGGAAAGCCAGCCCCCAAAAGATAAAATTTAATTTTTAAAATTTAAGACTGGACATGGGCCCAGTGGGAGGCTTTATTCTGGAGAGGGAACAGGATGTAGGGATCCCAGAGTTCAGAAGAACAGGGCTCTGAGGGGGCCAAGAACTGTGTGGCTGGAGCCGAGTGACGGGCTAGGTGGAGTAGGGAAGGGATAAAAGGACTTTGGGAGAGAACGTAGAGCTAAGAGAAACATTTCTAGGGCTTCGTTCTGGTAAGTGCCAGCAAATAAAGCCATAGAAGGTCATGGAAGACTAGAGACTGTACTGTTCCCACTTTACTGAAGAGGGAGCTGCAGCTCAGAGAGGCAAGCACTTTGCTCAAGAGTCAGTATTTGAACCCAGGTTAGGCTGAGTACTGTACTTCCTACCACATCAGCAGTTTTGAGTTTTGCTTCAGCAGCTACTATGTACTATGTACTGTCTGTCTGTCTGTCTCAAACAGAGGTAGGGGGAGAGGGGAGTTCTCAACCCAGCTTCAACCTTAGGGGCTCCACACAGTTTTACACAGGGGCCTTCTAGGTAAGTTTCACCGGAGCACGGGCTTTGGAGGAGAAAGAACAGTGTGGAGGTGCTGCCCTCATCCAGGTCTTTGAAATGCTCTTCTTGAAACACTGCTGCAGAATCACTTTGCTTGTGACATATTGGCCCCCAGTTTCCTCCCCGGGGTATCCACCCTCCGTGTGACTGCCAGAATGACTTTCCAAAGCCTCATCAGTTACTCTGCTCAGAAACCTTCCATGACTCCTGTTGCAGTTTGTGTCTGGATGTCCCCCCTGAAGCCTCATGCAGTCATGGGGTGGGCTTCTAGAGTTTTCGATTGATCCATGGTCCAATGCTGGGATTATGCGTGTGAGTGCTACACCCGCCCTGGGGCAGGGAGCCTGCGTACAGTATAAGGGAGGGAAGGAGCCTTGCTCTTGTGGCTCCTCCCTACTTGCTCTTGCAGCTTTTGCTGTCTTCTGCTGCCATGAATAGCTGCCCTCTGCCATGTGCCCCTCTGCCTTGGAGGCAGGTGATTGTGGGCTGAAACCACCGTGAACTGTGAGCTAAATAAACCTTTCCTTCCTTAATTGTGGGTGTTGAGTATTTTGTCTCAGCAATGAGAGAAAAGTAACCAAGACAATTCCCAACTACCTTTTGCTAAAATCTATGTTTTCCTTTTAGTGTGAGCTGGAGCCCATATGCAGCCTTGCTATTAACTGCTCCCCAGCTCCCACCAAACCAGCTGACTTATGGTTCTGGGCATTTGCTACAATCACCAGCCAGCTCCTCCTCATCCCTGGAAAGCCTTCCCTGCACCTTTTGCTGAGCCTGGGCCCTACCCTTGGTGTGTCCTCTGCACCACTTACCTCAAGCCGCCTGCTTACCTGTCAGGGCCCTGCCTCTGTCCCCGTCTCTGGCCCATGGTGCACCACTCAAATGTAGTTTTACACAATCTGCTCAACTCCACTTTGCTCCCCTGGAAAGCGGTTTCTCGGGGAATCTGCTCTTTCTCTTGGGGTGAGCATACCAGTCTTGCCTCGAAAGCATACCAGAAATGCCAATGGCTTGATGTTAGGCAGGGGGAGTTTTCAGCATGGGAGCCTGTCCCCTGCGGCCAGACCTCAATTTTACATGGAGGAGGTAGAATAGGCAATATCACATGGTGAGAAAAAATCTGTGGGGAAGAATAGCTGACTACAGGAAAGAAAACATCGAAACCTGGAAGGCGTTTTCAGATCTTCCAGCTGATTTGACTTTCATTTTGGAATGGGCAGGGCAGATACTTGTTTTGGGTCCCCAAATCTGCCACTAGTTTAGGTGCTTAGCTTCCAACTTTTGCTATAAAGAGAAGACTACTGCTATAAGAGTGCCCTTTGAATGCTTAGCTCATGCCAACCTGCCAGTCTTCTCTCCAAGCCAGGAGCCCACAGATGGCAGATGCCCATGCCAAATGCCAGAATCCTGGAACTGCTCACCCTGCCCCCAGGTTAAATACTACTATATCTCTGGTGGCTCTTTTTTTTCTTTTGTCTTTTTGAGAGCGTCTTGCTATGCAGTTCAGGCTGGACTTGAGCTCACTTTGCAGCCTGGGCTGGTCTCAAACTCGCAAAGATCCTCTTGCCTCAGCCTCCTGAGTGCTGGGATTACAGGCGTGTGTGACCACATCCAGCACTGGTGGGTTGAGTAGCACTCAGTACATTGCTATGTTCCCTACTTTGATTCAATCACCAAAGAAAAGTTTATTTAGAAGAAAAAAAGGAACTAGTCCATTACACTGTGTAAATATGGTTAAGGTGTAGTTCCTAGAGGTATGGGTCAGGCTGAAAATGGGAATTGGAAGGGTTTGGATCATTTCATGGATGAAAAGAACCTCATAATGGGTTATGAAAAGAAGCCAGGAATGTTTCCAGCACAAAGGAAACACAGACCCACCAGGCAGAGATGCAAACCTGGCTGAGGTGGCTCAGGATGGAGATTCTGGGATGTAATGACTCAGTTTCTCCAGTGTTCAAGGACTAGGGAACACAACAATCCATTAAGTGCTACTCAAGCTGCCAGAGACAGTGCTAGTTCAATAATTTATTTATTGTGGTACTAGGGATTGAACCCAGAGCTGCTCTACCACGGAGCTAAATACCTGCCCCTTTAAAAGTCTTTAACATTTGGAGACAGGCTCTTGCTAAATTGTCCCGGTTTTGAACACGAACTTGTGATCCTTCTGCCTGTCTCCCGAGGAAATGGGATTACAGGGAGGTAATCCTGCACCCAGCTACAGTACTATGTTAAAATGCAGTGTTGCCTAAGGCAGCATGGGTCACTGGCCACCTCCCTCTTTTCAGGCTGAGTCAACCCTTTCATATTCTATTTAATTCATGCAATTTCTGAAGGGAAGCAACTTTGCAAAATTTGTGCATTGAGTTTAATTTTTTAAAAGAATGTGGATGAAGAAAGCCTTATCATGCAAAAAAAAAAAAAAAAAAAAAGTACCAGACAGTGTGTCTCACTGGAGGGCACAAGTTAAATAAATCACACAACACCACAAAATATCAGAGATTGTAAAATTAGAGACTTCTCACCATCCCTAAGCCCCCTACATAACTCCTCCAGGATGAGACTTGTGCCCGCGGCCTAACCTGGAAGCCAGAGAGCTCAGGAGACAAGTGAACTGCATGACTCTACTAGAGCCGAGGGGGAGACGACTTCTTCAGTGCAGAGTTCTGGCCATTTGGTCTGAGAATCATCCCCAAATCCTGGATCCCTACCTTGCCTCACGGTTGGGTTGATGACCTCTTCTCCTGCAAACATATGCAGCTACCCCTATCGTTAAGAAGGAAAAAAGACACTCCTGTCATGTGAAAGGAGAAACGATTGCACTTTAATATACTTAAGAAGTCACCTGCGACATCACAGAACAGTAGTGGGAAGGCCCGGGTTGCCAAGGCATCCATCACCAGGGGCTGACCACCCGTGCAGTGAGACTCAACAATGCAGAGTTAGGCAGGCAGTGGGGCATTTCCTCTGCATCAGTGGTTTACAGTTTTAACTCATTTTTCTGGCGAATGCTTCCTAATAAACCAGCGCTTCTGCCTGCTCAGAAATGGCTGCTGAAGCTGTTTCCTCTCCCAAGCAGGACTAGCTCCCTGATCTTAATTTGTCGGTCGCGAACCTTTTGGGTTTGATCCTGGGCTCTCCCTCCATTAGGGCTGCCCTAGTCCTTCTGGCTGGCGGCTTCAAGAGGCCTGTGACGGGTACCTGAGTCGGGCCGGTATCATTTGCTCCTCACAGGTCCAAGCTGCGTCAGAGGCGCCTCTCCTTCTGTGGCAGAAACCGCCGAGGATGAGGCCTCACCACTCCTGGCTCTCTTATCTCTGTCGCCCTCAACGGTCTTGGAAGAAGGGGAACAGATGGCGGAAGAGGCCATGGATTTGCGCCACCCTGCTGCCCGCGGCGTCTTTCACTCTGGCCAGCGGGGTCGCCGCTCTGTTATGGGTCTCCACGGCCGTGGCGCCCGCAGCGCTTGGGGTCCGTCGAGGCGGCCACGCAGCGGCGCCGCTGCTGTTGTTGTTGGTGTTGTGGCGGTCGCTGCCCCGCGCCGGCTCCCAGTCCTCGGCCCCCGACAGTTCCCGCAGACTCTGGGGAGCGTCGGGACGCAAGTAGTGGTAGGCCCGGTGGCCGCTGTGGTCGCGGCGCGTGGGGTCAGCTCCCAAGGCGCCCACTAGCACCTTGATGACCATGTCGTGGCCCTGCAGCGCGGCCAGGTGGAGGGGCGTGAGGCCGCCGCTGCCCGCGGAGCTCACGTCGAGCGGCAGTCCCCGGAGCCGGGCGAAATCGTGCACCAGAATGAGCTCCTCGTGGCGGCCGTGCTTGGCCAGCCAGTGCAGCACGCTGTAGCCGGTGATCGGGTCGCCCCGCAGCAGCAGCCCCGGCTCCGCCTCCAGCAGCTCCCGCAGCACCTCAAACCGGCCCTCGGCGGCCGCCAGGATCCACGTGTGCTCCCGCGGCTCCAGGCACAGCCCGCTGCCCGCGGACCCGCCCGGGGACGGCTCCTCAGCGCGCTCCTCCGACGGCCGCCCGGCAGGAGCCGCCCCCTGCTGCCCGGGCAGCTCCCTCCGCGGCCCCCGCCGGCGCCCCGAGCCCGCTCCGGAGAGCGTCAGCAGGCCCTGGAAGTGGGGTTCCCGGGAGGCGGCGGCGGCGCCCCGGTACCTGCCCAGGCTAGCGGTGTCCGCTCTCGAGTCGCGCGGCTGCGGGGTGGGCGCGAGGGAGGCCTGGGGCGCGGGGTCCGCGGCCCCTCGGAGCTGGGCCATGGTCCGGCGGCCGCCTCCGCGGCGTCAAGCGTTCGTTGCCCTTCCCGGGCCCCACCGGGAGAGGAACTGGCGCTGGCGGGGGGGAAGGAAGCGGCTTGAGCAACTGGGCTGAGAGGGAGGGCGCGGAGGAGGGGGGCGGAGGGAGGG